CAAATGTTTTACCTTTCATTTCTATTTTAAAAGGAATGGGTTATTTTAACTCCAAGTATGGGTTGTATTACATAGGTAGGTAGTATGCATATTCTATATCTGTGGGACTTATGTGGAAAAAGAGAGTCAGTGCAGCAGTCAAGGAAGGGGGTCAAGTGATGGACTCTCCTGTTGCCAGAGAGTGGTGCCAGCCTTTTCTCTCCCCTGGTAGACTCTAAAGCCAGGTACACAAAATTTGGATGAATTTTGGTATGTGTATTGCTCTGTGTTCAACAGAAGCTGGTCTAATGGTCGGCTTCTGTTGAACGGTCATGCTGGAAAACTATGATTCAATCAGCCCTTTCAGAACTGATCTATGTATTCTGCTGGGGGGGGGGTACCCGTTGTCAAAATACAATAGCGTGGTAGGGGAGATGTATGCAGGGTTTTTTCTTCTGTTCAGCCCACCGGCTGAACCAAAATAAAAAAAAAGTGTGCTTGTATACCCAGCTCAATTGGACTGAAAGTGTCGGGGAGTGAAGCAGCAGTCATATTCCTTTCTCTTGAGCATCAACAGAGCATCTACATGAACACTGCTTTGATGCTAACATTAGGTAGAACCCAACTTAGGTCTAATCTGCCAACACCTTTGGGCTCCAGGGGCCGTCTTGGAGGAGCCTGGTTTAAATATGGAACCAGAGCTCCCTAAGATTTAGTGGCCATTTTTGGGCTCAAAAGGTATATACTGTATATAAACTATATATCCAAAAGTATTGGGACGCCTGCCTTTACATGCACATGAACGTTAATGGCATCCCAGTTTTAGTCCGTAGGGTTCAATATTGAGTTGGCCCACCCTTTGCAGCTATAACAGCTTCAACTCTTCTGGGAAGGCTGTCCACAAGGTTTAGGAGGGTGTCTATGGGAATGTTTGACCATTCTTCCAGAAGCGCATTTTTGAAGTCAGGCACTGATGTCGGACGAGAAGGCCTGGTTTGCACTCTCTGCTCTAATTCATCCCAAAGGTGTTCTATCGGGTTGAGGTCAGGACTCTGTGCAGGTCAGTCAAGTTCCTCCACCCCAAATTCGCTCATCCATGTCATTATGGACCTTGCTTTGTGCACTGGTGCGCAGTGATGTTGGAATAGGAATGGGCCATCCCCAAACTCTTCCCACAAAATTGTCCAAAATGTCTTGGTATGCTGATGCCTTAAGAGTTCCTTTCAATGGAACTAAGGGGCAAAGCTGCACCCCTGAAAAACAACCCCACACCATAACCCCCCCTCCACCCAACTTTACACTTGGCACAATGCAGTCAGGCAAGTACCATTCTCCTGGCAACCATGAAACCAAGACTCGTCGATCAGATTGCCAGAAAGAAAAGTGCGATTCATCACTCCAGAGTCCAGTGCTTCACACCACGGCATCCAACGCTTTGCATTGCACTTGGTGATGTAAGGCTTGGATGCAGCTGCTCGGCCATGGAAACCCATTCCATGAAGCTCTCTATGCACTGTTGTTGTGCTAATCTGAAGGCCAAATGAAGTTTTGAAGTCTTTAGATATTGACTCTGCTGACAGTTGGCGACTTCTGCGCACTGTGTGCTTCAGCATGCGCTGACCCCGCTCTGTCATTTTACGTGGCCTACCACTTGGTGGCTGAGTTGCTGTTGTTCCCAGTTGCTTCCACTTTGTTGTAATCCCACTAACAGTAGACCGTGGAATATTTAGTAGCCAGGAAATGTCACGGATGGACCTATTGCACAGGTGACAACCTATCACGGGACCACGCTTGGAGTCACTGAGCTCCTGAGAGCGACCCATTCTTTCACAAATGTTTGTAGAAGCAGTCTGCATGCCTAGGTGATGATTTCATACACCTGTGGCCATGGAGGTGATGGTAACACCTGAATCCAATGATTTTGGAGAGGAGTCCCAATACTTTTGGCAATATAATGTACTGTATCTTGTCCCGTATCATTAGGGGCCCTCAAGTTGGAAATGTAGATAAGGATCTGGAGCAGTTTCCCCCTTCCTTTAGGAATGGGTATAAGTTCAGGAGATTTTAATAATCCTAAGTGCCAGATACTCTTGCCATTTGTCTGTAAGATGAAAGTTAGAAGAACACCCCCAGTGCTTGTAAAGGTTTCCCAGTTAGAGAAACCTATAACCTTCAAAGATTAAAGTGATATTGAAGTCTGTCTTTTTTTAGCGAAAGTGAAAACAGGGGTTTATATTTACCTGCTCTATGCAAGAATAATGCACAAAGTGGTCCCTTATTCTCTTCTGGGGGTCCCACTCTGATGCTCTTGGCTCTTCCTCTTCTGTGCAAGTTGCGTGCTATAGGGGCACACCTGTGGGTGTGTGCTCCTGAGCTGGGAGAGTCCATAGACACACACAGCGCAGTTCGGCCACACACCCTGATCCCTCCTCACAGTAATTGATTGGCAGCAGCAGGAGCCAATGGCTTCCACTGCTAGCAGTCTGTCCTAGATCAGGGAGAGAGGCCAGCCCTGTTGCAAACGTGCACAGCGCTGGATCAACGTGCACTCGGTAAGCAAGGGGGGGGGGGTGTGGACAAACAGCAAGTGGAAGTTTTTTTAATGCAGATAATGCTTTTTTTTAAGTTTAGAACCACTTTAAAGAAAGCATACTTCATTTGGTGTCCATTACAGCTCTTAACTCATAGCAGCTTATAGCTCAGTACTTTTTTCTGCTTTGAAATTTCCAGAAGTGGAACTGAAAAACGTTAGAGTGTTACTGTACTTTCCGGTTTCAGGGATAAAAGCTACTTTAAAGTGACAGTTGTGTTGCATACTTTCCTTGACTCCTCTGATACAATGTAACCCCCCCACCACACGTATAGGCATCCTGAAATGAATGTCAATCTCTAGCTTTTCCCTACACATATAAAGCCTAGAATCCTTTAAAGTGATATTAAACCCTCCATTTTTTAAGCACTTTCAGAAGCTGATTTAATCTCTACGGTTAGGTTCACACCTATGCAGGTTGCGTTTGAGCCGTCTCTGCATTGTGTTTTTGCACCCTTGTTTTTGTTGTGTTTTTTTTAATGTATTTTGTGTTTTTGTTTTCTTTTTTTTTCTTGTTGCTAGGTAGATTTAAAACGCAACACACATCAAAAACACAGCAAAAATGCAGCAAAAACGCAATACATGCTTTTCTGCAGTGTTTCCATTGAAGTCTATAGAACCAAAAACTTTTTGCGTTCAAAAAAGTCCCTGACCCTTTCCAAAAAATGCACTGGGTGAAATCGCGCAGATGTGAACTTGTCCCATAGGAATTCATGTTCAATGGACTGTACTGAGTTTCTGCATAACCCAAAATGCTGCAGAAAAACACTTGGTTTGGATCTAGGGTTATGGAGTATGCACTTCTATATCTTTAATCCCTGCCTACATTCCAGTTTGAGCTGGTGCCATATCCGCTGCTCCAGATTTCCTCTTTCAAAGTAGCTCCTTTCTCTTGCAGCATCCTATGGAGTCAACCTCTCATGCAGGGACTAGAGCTGTGTCTCCGTACACCCGTGTATATCAAAAGAAACACACAGCTCCATGGTCTATGGATGGCAAGGCACTTCTCTGCTCCTCCCTCCCCCTCCTCTTCTTCTCTCCCTCCCTTTTTTCAACAGACTTGTTAGAGAGTGCACTGTCCACTTGTAAAAGTTTTCGATGAAGACCTGAAGTTCAGGGAAGTAGCACTGAGGAAGCAGTAGCCAGCAGCACTGAAAGTTGTAAACTGCAAGAATTTTGCCAAATAGTTTATTAGGGATTGTTAATTTTATTGTGCTTAATGTGTTAGGCTTAAAAACACTGAGGGTTTAAAACTACTTTAACCCCTTGACGCCGACTTCACACAAATATGCAGCCTCACAGAACTGGCCTTTTTTCCTTGGGGCCACTAATTTGCATACCTGTCTTTGTGCTGGGAGCATGCCACATGGCCAGGGGCGGACTGACAACTCATGGGGCCCCTGGGCAATAGGGGATCATGGGGCCCCTGTGTCCTGGCCCAAACTCAAAAAAGCTTATGAAAAAGGTACCAGGGGCATCTCATGGGGCCCTCTACTGACCCCGGGCCCTCGGGCAGTGCCTGAGTTTCCAAATGGTCAGTCCGCCCCTGCGCACTGCATGCTCCCAGCACAAACACCGGGGTGTCACTGAGAGCCCCAGGTCCCGATTTAACAATCGGGACCCAGGTCTCCCGATTCCGGGTCACATGATTGCTGCGATAGCCTTTTTTACCTTTATGCATTCTATGTATGAAAGTAAAAAACCTTCCGTGTGCTGCTCCCCCCACAGTCCCCCCCCCCCCCCCAATATTCACCTGAGCCCTTTCTCGATCCAGTGATGTGCACAGGAGCCTGGGCTGACCCAGTTCTCCTCTCCCTCTCCTCATTGGCTTAGATATTAGCCGTTGGCGCCCCCTGCTGTCAATCACAGCTAATAAGCCAATGAGGAGAGAGCGCGGGGGGGGTATGAGCCGCGGCTCTATGTGTCTTACGGACACATAGAGCTGGGCTCAGAAGTGAGCAAGCATGCACCAGTGCCCCCATAGCAAGCGGCTTGCTGTTGGGACACTGGTCAAGGGGGAGGAGCCAGGAGCACTGGGGACCCTAGAAGAAGAGGATTGGGGCTGCTCTCTGCAGAACCATTGTACAGATCAGGTGGTAAGTATAATATGCTTGTTGTTTTTTCTTGTTTTTTTTAACCGCCTCCCATCCACCATATAAGGAAATGACGGGAGCAAGGCGGTTCTCTCGTTCTGGGAGGATCAACGTAAAGAGCCGAATACGTCAGCTCTGCCATGTGATCAGCTGTGTCCAATCACAGCTGATCGCATGTAAATAGGGAAATGCCGGTTATCTGCATTTCTCTCCTCTCGAGCTGTCACGCTGACAGCTCGAGAGGAGAGGAGAGCCGGTAATTGGCATTCCTCAGAGGGGACATGTACACTGATCATCAGGGCACTGATGATCAGTGTGCCCTGATGATCTGTGTAGCCCCAGCAGTGCCACCTGTCAGTGCCCATCAATGCCAGCCGCCAGTGCTCATCAGTGCCACATCAATACCATATATCAGTGCCTACCAGTGCACATCAATGCCACGTCAGTGCCCATCTGAGCTGCCAGTCAGTGCCACCTATAAGTGCCAGTCAGTGCCACCTATCAGTGCCAGTGAGTGCCACCTATCAGTGCTGCCCAATCAATGCCACCTAATCAGTGCCACCTATCAGTGCCACCTATCAGTGCACATCAGTGCCCCCTACCAGTGCCCGTCAGTGCCGCCTATCATATCCAGCCAGTGCCGCCTATCAGTGCCTATCAGTGCCATATATGAGTGCTGCCTTTCAGTGCCCATCAGTGATGCCTGTCAATGCCCATCAGCGCCACCTACCAGTGCCTCCTCATCAGTTCCCATCAGTGCCACCTATCAGTGCCCATCACTGCAGCCTCCTTAGCGCACATCTGTGAAAGAGAAAAATCACTTATTTAAAAATTTTATAGCAGAAACTAAGAAAAAACATTTTTTTTTCAAAATTTTCAGTTGTTGTTGTTTGTTTAGCAAAAATAAAAAACCCAGAGGTGATTAATAACACCAAAAGAAAGCTCTATCTGTTTAAAAAAAAATTATAAAAATTTCATATGGGTACAGTGTTGCATGACCGTGCAATTGTCATTCAAAATGTGACAGTGCTGAAAGCTGAAAATTTGGCCTGGGCAGGAAGGGGGTATAAGTGCCCTGTAGGCAAGGGGGTAAAGGCTGAACCTATAGTAGGATGTTTAGAATGAGAACAGAAAGTGAGCTGGTTTGTGAACATTGTAAAGCCACAAGTGGCAAATAACGCGTTCTGTTGTAGAACAACAGGTCCCAGCACTCTGGGTGTGTCTGGATATAGCTGTATCACGGATCCGCAACAGCTGGGGAGCCACAGGTTGCCTCGTACGGCTCTGTACCTACAAACACTGCGGCAGCTGGCGTTCTACCCACGCTCCCCCAGAACAGCTCTCACTCTCCACATCCCTCCCCACTGCACTGTGATGAATGTTACCTTCTCAACCCAACTATTTAACACACCAGAGTGGCCCCTACTGGGACCGGCTTGGCTGCAACTCAGCGGCAACAGACTTGGCTCCTTACTGATGAATCTATTTTGCTGTCGGTGTTTTTGCAATTACCCCTTTGGTGGGCAGAGGGGAAAGCGGTGAGGGATTTTGTAAGTCGCCGTTCTTACTGAGCTGTGCTCCGTGTTGCAGTTGTAGCTCGGTATAAGTGCTTGTTCTGAGCAGCAGAGCATGACAATCCCTGACAAAATACTGCTGGAGTGAGATTTCACCTCTCAGGTGGTTAGAGCGGATTGCCGGCTCTTTCTAGGACACACGATAACATTGTTTTCTTCTTATAAATATAAAAAATGTATTTAAAAAGCAGAGCTGTCCACAACAGAACAACATTCAAGGGTGAAAAACAGAACAGTCGTATTGAAAGGGTGACCCTAACAATGAACTTCTCATGTTTCCTTCCATTTGATCCATTAAATATACCATTGAAAGTATTTTGTGATCAATGTTTGATAAGTGTGAAAAATATTTGTTGATCCTTTCAGAAATCTTCTTGTTTTTATTTACTTATTACAGGTACTTATATAGTGACTCCCATTGTAATGTACAGCGCTGAGCGAACTGTTGGCACTTTATAAATACTGTATTATAATAATAATAATAATAATAATAGCGCCGTCAATTTACGTAGCGCTTTACATATATGTTGTACATTCACTTCAGTCCCTAATCCTCAAGGGGTGTACAATATAAGGTCCCTAACCCTCAAGGGGTGTACAGTCTAAGGTCCCTAACCCTCAAGGGGTGTACAATCTAAGGTCCCTAACCCTCAAGGGGCGTACAATCTAAGGTCCCTAACCCTCAAGGGGTGTACAATCTAAAGTCCCTAACCCTCAAGGGGTGTACAATCTAAGGTCCCCAACCCTCAAGGGGCGTACAATCTAAGGTCCCTAACCCTCAAGGGGTGTACAATCTAAAGTCCCTAACCCTCAAGGGGTGTACAATCTAAGGTCCCTAACCCTCAAGGGGCGTACAATCTAAAGTCCCTAACCCTCAAGGGGTGTACAATCTAAGGTCCCTAACCCTCAAGGGGTGTACAATCTAAGGTCCCTAACCCTCAAGGGGTGTACAATCTAAGGTCCCTAACCCTCAAGGGGTGTACAATCTAAGGTCCCTAACTCACATTCATACATACACATACTAGGGCCAATTTAGACAGGATCCAATTCACCTATCAGCATGTCTTTGGAGGTGGGAGGAAACCCATACAGGCACAGGGAGAAACATGCAAACTCCAGCCAGGTGGTGCCATGGTTGGGATTCAAACCAATGACCCCAGTACTGCCAGGTGGAAGTGCTAACCACTGTGCTGCCCAAGCTAAGTTTTAAGCTAGTGTAGCACCCTGCTAGTTAGATTGCTAGCAGGATTATTGTAAATTTAGTTTCCTGGCACATCATGGCGGCATACCATACATGTTGTGGCTCTGCTCTCAACCTGATAGGACCATTAACCTATAAAGTTTTGCAGGATCTGGCCCCCTGGCATTCCTCAGATCCTGCTTTTCCTTCAGTGAGGCCTAGATAGAGAATTAGGCATCAATTGTTCTTGTGTAGTGCCCTCCTAGTTAGCTAGGGGGAGCTAGACTTGAATTGTTAGTTAAGGCTGAGTAGCAGCCTGGGTGTGATAGCTAGAAGGGGTCAAAATTTGCTTAGGGCTGAGAGGCTCTTCTGGAATTTCCCCCTGGTCTAGAAATTTGGAGAAAGGTCTAGAAGCAGTGGGTGGATCTGAGGAGTGGCTGGACTGTACTCAGGGGATCCTGGCCAATCCCCAACAAGAGGCGTGGCAAGGGGCCAGGACAACCTTTAAGAATAACTGAGCCTGCTTAGTAGAGGGGAGGAGTCAGCTGGAAGATGTGAGAGAGGAAGGGATGCAGGAGGGAGAGGGGCTCACCTCCAAGCAGAGGGACCTTGGAAGGAGGAAAGCTTGGGACCCGGAGAGAGGACCACCTGTGTGGCAGGGAAGGAACTGCCCAGCTAGAAGGCCTGGTAGCAGCCACCAACCCACCAGCAACACAAGAAAAGAACCAAGTGAGTAGACCTGCGCTCCCTGAGCTAGAAAGGAGAAAGAGGCACTCTGGTGGATTAGCTTTTTACTTGGGACTGTTCACACTGCAGTGGCAGGCACTTTAGTCCCTTCTCAGGGATTCACCCAGAACAGCTGGACTAGGAGAATCTGGGATGGTACAACAGAAGATGCTGGCTAGAGGATTTTTGTGTTAAGACTTGTACATAGTTCAGGAACATTGTCCTCAGTTACAGTTCCATTGGGCATCCCGTACACCCATTAACCCTATCCAAGTTACAATCCCCTAATAAAATTGCAAAAACAAAGCTCAAGGAGTGGTTACTGACTCCTCGATGCAAGTCTATTTGAAAATGCATGTTGCCTGGCTGTGCATGTCTTTAGGGGAACCCAAAACTTCAGGAACTCCTTTGGGGTAGTCAGGGGTGTATTTACCACAAGGCAAACAAGGCACTTGCCTAGGGTGGCATTTTTCAGGGGGGCAGCACCTCCCCCTAGAAGAAGGGATGAAAGAAGGGACATGTGCACCATGGGAACAAGGTGGGATCCAAGAGAGGCTGCGGGTTGTTTGATGGTGTATGTAGAGCCTGACTCTCGTCGCTCCTGGGGATGTCCAGAGCTTTGAAGATGAATGTCTCTCTATCGCCGGTCGGGGGGGGGGGTAGTGGAAGGCTGGAAGGCTACAGGGGTGTTGTTGGTCAATGTCATTCTCTTTCCATGGGAGGGGGAAGGGGGGGTTGTGTTGGTCAGTGTCCATGTGGGAAGATAATTTGTTTGTTGCCTAGGGCAGCACAAAACATAAATACACCACTGGGGGTAGTGCTACACACGTATCAGCGCTGTCCGCCATGACGGACGTCAAATGGGCCCTCAATCTACTAGTTATTCAATTCACGAAAGCATGTTTAAAGCTAAGATCTCCCAGAAAGACAACCTTTCCAAAGTGGGATTTAACAGTGGTCCTTGAAGCACTCACAAGGTCATCCTTCCATCTGCTGGAATCAGTGTCTATCGTGCCATCAACAAAGGCTGGTCTTCATCAAGCCTTAACAATGGTTCCTTTGTGCATTCTGTCATGATTGTATTAACACCAACCACTCCACCCATGTAGTAGAGGGACTGAGGGAGACTTTTATCGTAGCCCTAACACACTTGCTTTCACAGGGTGACAACTCTGCTCCTCCATAGATACAGTACAGTGAGTGTTGTCACCATAATGTGACAGGTCCCAGAAGACGACAGGGCCATTCTCAAAGCGCAGCGCTTCTCGCACATGCTCATTGGGCACCCAGCTGTGAAGCTGCAAGCTGCCACAGCCGGGTGCCCACACTAAAGATGCCGGCACCAGGGAGAGAAGACAGCCGGTGAAACCAGCCATGGTGAGGACACCACTGGACCGAGGGACAGGTAAGTGTCTGTATTTGAAAAGTCAGCAGCTACAGTTTTTTCAGCTGCTGCCTTTTTTTTTTCAGCTGGAACTCCACTTTAAATAATTTGTTTAACTTGTTTCATTTATTCAAATTTGAATTTTCTGAATTCGATTGAATTTAATTCAATTCGACCAAATTCGGAAAATTTCAATCGCCATTCGAATTCAAATTTATTCTATTCAAATTCAGTTCAATTCTTTCTGTTCTATTGTTTTTTTCTATTCTATTCTGTTCTTTTATAGTCTATTCTTTTCTAATCTATTCTGTTTGAATTCAAATTTATTCTATTCGAAATTCAAATTTCGTAAGACAGTTATATTCTATTTTATTCTATTCTTTTGTATTCTAATCTTTTATTTTCTATTCTATTCTTTTCTGTTCTTTTCTATAATATTATTTTCTATGAATTTTGGAAGACAGTTATATTCTTTCTATTCTATTGTTTTTCTGTTGTATTCTTTTCTTTTGATTTCTATTCTATTTTTTCCTATTTGAATCTATTCGAAATTCAAATTTCAGAAGACAGTTATATTCTTTCTGTTCTATTCTATTCTAGTGTTTATGATATTCTATTCTGTTCTTTTCTATTCTTTTATTTTCTATTTTATTTTTTACTATTCAATCGTTTTCTATTCAAAATTTCAGATTTCAGTTTCAGAAGACGGTTATATTCTTTCTATTCTATTCTATTCTATTGGTTTTTGCTATTCTTTTTTTTTCCATTGTATTCTATTCTTTTATTTGCTATTCTGTT